CGCGAGCGAGCTCCGCCGCCTCCGCGTCGATCGACTAGGCACACCCAGTCTACTCGTCAACCCCGCCACAGGGGCGAGGACGCCGCGATGGCGGGAGATGCCACGAGGGGTCGCGCCGGTGGCGTTCCAGGCTCCCTTGCAGCTTGCTCAACCGACGGCCCTCGTGCATTCGCAGCATGTCATATCGCATTCTTTGCAAAAATGGCGTGTTGACTGTTGTTGTTGCCCATGGCGCCATGCAATTTTTTGTGGATGGCCGAGGCTAGTTCCATTTCACTGTGGCACAGCTCGCGTTACAAAACCTTGATTTTGACCATTGCGCGAAAAAGGTACATCTCGGTGCCTTCCAGAGGCAGCTGCGACCCCGCCGAGTGGACGGTAACGCACAGCAGGTGGCGCGGTGCGTTACCGTCCACTCCGCTGGGTCGCAGCTGCCTCTGCGCGTCCTGGGGATGTACCTTTGTCGCGCGCCGGAGACGACTCGACGCCGCTGAGATCGGAGATCAAGCTCTGACAGGTCGCACGTCGCTCCTTTGACGCCGACGTGACTCACCCGTGCAGATCACATCAGGACACGGTCTCGACGCGCTCGGTACGACGCCTGCGACCCGTCTCGGGTCAGGTGGCACGACGCTCATCGCGCCTACCAGCGCTGCCGTGCAGGTTGCCACGACGAGGTCGAGCACGCTTCTATACGCTCGCCGAGCCTTCCTTTCCATCCCATTTGGCAGCCTGGGAACGGTGGCGGTCAGAGGCAAAGCATACGAGGGGTGGTGGAACCACATGTCACGGCTACTGCCGGCTCGACCCCACGATAGCCTCCGGAGGCTGACTTTGAGGCACCATCATCGGACGATGTCGACGAGTTGAGTCGCGCTCGCGGTAGCCAGATGACCTCTCATACTAGTATCATCGGCCATGGCCGCAGGAAGCGCGGGGGAGGGCGCTGGGAGCAACACGGAGCTCCGTTGGACGTTTTCAAGATTAGCGTGTCAGAGTGAAATGGAACTAGCCCGAACCAGCTGCAGCGCTCTCATCACTCGTCTCTGGTAGGACGGGAACGAGATGATAGTAGGGAGTAGAAGAAAGCAAAGAGGAGCCCTGCGCACGCACGCGACTCCGCAGGAGAAGCCCCCCCCCCCCAGACAAAACACAAGGGAGAGGTGGGTGGGTCACAAAACAGCGCGCCACAAAAGGCGCTCAGAGCGGAGAGTTGGACCGGCGACACACAATATGTCGTTTCACCAGTGCCGACAAAGTGCCACCAATTGTCGCCACATATCAGTTTCACAGGAGCGCCGCCTCAACACGGGGTCTCGGCTCTACCGAGCCATGCTAGCTCCAGCCGCAGCCCCACCCGGCCGCCTGCGGGTGTTCCCGCAAGCAGAGAAGACTAATCCTGGGGGAAGCAACCTCGTCGAGGCAAGGACGCAAGATCACGAAGTGAGGTTTTCACGTACGTATCGCTCATTTGGTTCTGTACATCATATAGACGGCACCGGGCCGGTGCTTCTGCTTGCACTTTGAATGCCGTGGGGCTCTCCTGCCCGTGTCCGGGCGTGGAGATGCGAGGGTCGCCCCCCCTTGCCCCACCACCTTGTGTGTGTGTGGAGACACGTTTACCTTACCTTACCTTACCTCAGATGACACAAAAAGAGCTACGACGACATCGTCATCGATGCAATAACCAATATTGGTGTATAATATGAAGTAATTTTGTAAGCCGTTGGCGTAGTCCGTAGACAGTCCAGACAGAGACAATGGCCCACCCTGGCAAAGAGCGCTGCGAAATGGGAGAGGTGCAAATCTAGACCGGACGCGGGACCATCCACATCATCACTGGCTCGCGGCAGTAAGGGCACTCTTGCATCAGCTCAGAGCATGGCCCGCAAGCGCACAAGTGCCCGCACGCGGGAAATTTCCGGAAACGCAAAGTGCTGGGGACCCTCTGTTTTCCTTTTTGTTTGCCGGAAAACCTTGTACGTCGCTGACCTCGTCGCTGCCTCGTGTCTCGCGCCTGTCGCCAAAGAATCCTTGTCTTTCGCGCCCTCCCTTCTGTCCACCTCCGCGCAGTTGATTTCTTTTTTGCTCGGTCTCCTCAAGAGTCTTTCATCGTCTTCCGAGAGTTCCTCCTCGCCAGTCATGCTTGCGCTGGCTGCTCTCATTGCGGGTTCATACTGCACGCTCTTGCCCTTCGTCGGCTTCTTCATCCGGCTCACAAAAAGCGTCGTTCTCAACGACGCGCTCACTCTGTTTTACGCCGTCGTCTACTGGGCGCCCTTCTCGTTTGTCATGAACGTCTACGCGCGCCTCTTCCTCTCGCACAAGGTGGCAACCTTCCGGAATGCCCGCCCCTCCTTCGTCAAGAAGAACGCCTACAACTACTCGTCCGACACCGACATCTTCTACTCCAAGGATTACTCCGACCTGGACGACTCGTTAGAAGAATGGGGCACCGTCGAGTACCTTCCCTTTGTGTACAACGCCGTCCTCAACAAGTACAATACCCGACTCAACTTTAAGCAGGACCTGCACGGGCCGCTGCTTGATCTTGTCACCCACTCGACCGATGACGAGTTCCGCGTCCTCGACATCGGACCTGGGACGGGCAACTCGACGATGGACATCTCGTCCGCACTGCGCAACGCGTGAGTGCCACTTCTTGAGACTCATCGCTTGCCCACCATGCACTCGCCTGCCACTCCTCGCCGCGCCTCGGCCTTACGCAACCCAGCCTACTCTGGTCTTCCTGGCTGCCGGCGATGCGTCACCCCGTGCGCCCAGGTGCGTCTGCTGCCTCGACATCTCGGAGCGGCTGCTCAAGATGTGCAAGGCGCGCAATCCGCACGCGTACTGCTTCAAGGGCTCGATGGAGGACACTCTCTTTGAGGATGACTCTTTCGACGTCGTCTACAACTTTGGCGGCATCAACGAGACCGACATCGACAAGTCGCTAGCTGAGACGGTGCCACCTCGCTGCTGCCTCCCCAAGGATCCTGAATCTGCCATCCCTCACCGCCACCCACCCTGCTTCACCAGTGGCGTATCGCCAAGCCCGACTCACTGATCGTGCTCGCCGACGAGAACTTCGACGCGACCTCATGGCTGAGGAAGCTGTGGGTGGTGTTCATCTCCAACCTGACCTTCATCCACAGCTACTACTGGGACATGACCGCCTCGCGCCAGCCCAAGCAGCCCTTCCCCAAGATTCGCAGTTGGTGCCCCGCCGCCGTGCCCCGCCATCGTGCTGCCTCGATACCCACGCTGCCGCTCATCGCACCGCCCCGCACCGCACCGCGTTGCTGGCACTGTCGCGGTCTCACGGCGCGCCTCCCGTCGCCGTGGTCTCGCAGGCTCAAATCGCATGCGGGTGAGTACGAGGTGCTCTACGACGGAGTCAAGCCCGGCCTGTTCTTTACAATGGTGATCCGCAAGACCTCGGCCAAGACTCGCAAGCGCGGTCCCCAGCCTGCCATCCCCGTCTTCCGCCTAGTCGACTCTGGCACTGTGATGTGAGGCTTCGGCCGCTGTGCGTTGCTGTGCGAAAGACGAGGAGAGGCGTGGCGCGCACATGGACAGCGCTCGCTCTTTAGTCTGTCTACTTTGTTTACTATCCCATGTGTGAACAAAAAACAATGTATTTTACATACTTCTTCAAGCTTTGCAAGACGTCAAGTCGCTTGCGAGCTTGCGCTGCCGCCGGTCCACAGAGAGCAACACACCAATATGTAGTCGCCGCGGTTGTGTGGCGCAATGTTCAGCCCCGCGCCTCCTCCGTTCGCCCGGCCCGCTGCCTCCTACCCTTCCTCGTACGTCTCACTCTCGCTGTACGCCTGCTGCTCGCCATACTCGGCGCCGAGGTCCTCGCGGAGGGCCGACGCGTTGGCGAGGAGCTGCCAGGGCACCGGCCGCCGCGGCAGCTGGCCGGAAGGGAGCTGCCAAGGGCATACGTTGGAGCGCGTGTGTGCGAGAGCGCGGCAGAGGCGCCTGCCCGAGGCGGTGGCTCGCAAGCCGTGGCCGCCCATGCACCTCGACGGAGACAGTGAGCGGTCGGGTGAGGGGGCGGGACGAGGGTGAGACGAGGAGGGCGGAGGTTTGGAGCCGCGCACCGCATCTCGTTGCGCTCCCGCTTGCCCAGCCGGCGGAGCACCAGCTTCGCCTTGTCACAGCGGCTTGATGGAGGGCGGCCGTTCGCGCCGCCCAGCACCTTCTCGGCCTCGTGCACCATCCGCGCCTTTTCGAGCTCGGCCGTTAGCTGTGCCCGCCGAGCCGCAAAGGCGGCGCCGAGGGAGGAGATGCGCGCATCAAAGCGGAGAGAGAACTCGTCGTACAGCCGGTGGTCGAACGGCGCCTGCCGCTTGACCGTCGCCTCGCACTCGGCCATGTCCGGGCAGGCGCGCGCGGTGGTCGCCTCGCGATCCTCCGACCCCTCGGCGACGTACCTCCCCTTGGCCGACTTGACGGGCTGCGAGGGACGCGTGTAGAGCAAATGGGGGAGGCCGGCCAGGTCGGCGATCAGGAGCAGCGTCTCGTCGAAGCGCTCCACCGTGCCGACCACGTCGTACCGCAGCAGCGAGTCGCGCACGCGCTCGTACGCCGCCCGGTCCACCTCGCGAAAGCGCACATTCCGCTCGCTCGAGCCCGGAAGCATGTGCTCCGCATGGTCGCTGAACCACGGCTTATACAGCACGGCCGTCTGCAAGTTGGGCGGCAGCCAGTCGGCGAGCGTACGGCCGAACTTGCGCGGCTGGGCCGCCTGCTTCGAGGCGATGGACCAGCGGTGAAAGGAGAGGTAGTAGGAGAGCGGCGACCGCAGCCGCGTCACGAGCACCACGCGGCAGCGCGCGGCCACCGCCGCCGACGCGGCGAGCCCACCGTCCCCGCCCGCGCCGACGGGTGCGGGCGCGGGTGGCGGCGACAGCTCCTCTCTCAGCGCGGCGAGCTCGCTCACGTTGAAGCCGCCGGCAGGGTAGTGAAACTCGGCACAAAGGCGAAGCGCCGTCTCGGGCGCGCCGCCCCCGCTCCCCTGCTCCCGCAGGTAGTCGACCAGTGCGCTGCGTACGACGGACCACTGGTACGCGTAGGCGGCGTACCCCCAGTAGACGCACGCGCCGCGCGCCTCGTTGGCGAGGAACAGCTCGCGCATCGTCGAGCCGCCGTTCTTGTGCACGTGCCGGTCGAGCAGCGCCGTGCACTGTCCGCCTCCGCCGCCTCCGCCTCCGACCGCGCCCAACGGTGGGGGCGCCGAAGCGCTTGGTGGCAGTGCGAGCGCCGCTGCCTCGACGTCGTCGCTGGCACACTGTGGCTCAGGTGCCGTCAGGTGCCACTTGACTCCCTCCCTCACAGCGACGAGCCGCGGCTGATCCTCGCGGCCGGAGCATGGCTGAGGGGCGAGGGGCACGTCGTCGCCCCTCTTGAGGAAGCACGAGGGCTCACGGAAGACGGCGTGGCTACAGGACGGCCCGGCTTCCGCGCAGAGGCGGGAGCACTCCACCAGGTCGCGCGCAGGGTGCTGCTTGCACCATGCGCTCTTTGACTTTTTGCACCAACGGCATTTTCGCGCAAAGACGCGGATATCGATGCACTCGGTCGCGTTGGCAAGCACGTATGGGACCCAAACAAAGCCGTGTGAGCCGAGCGGTGGTGGCGGTGGTGACGGGCCAGTCGGAACGGGAGGCGGAGAGTCGTGCCGGGGTGATGGTGGTGGCGGCGGCGGCGGCGGTGGCGGCGGCGGCGGCGATTGTCGCGGGAGTGTCGTCCTTGCGCGAGAACGGCTGGGTGAGGAGTGGGGCTGGAATGAAGGCGGGAGCGGGATCGAGCGCTGATGCTGCGTCATTCGCCACAGCTCATTGAACCAGACAAAGAAGAGAATGCCAAACGTCGCCAGCGCCATCACTGGCGGCCTCGCCGCTCTGCCCGGCCGCACGGCGGGCTCGGACGGCACGAAGGCCGCCGGCTCTCGCGGGACGGAGCGCTGGAACATGATCGTGCGACCGGGCAGAGCGCCGCAACCGCGGGCTGCCGGCCGCTGGCCGAAGAAGCTCGCGGCGGGCGCGCGGAACTTGAGGAGAGACTTGTTCCGCTTCGTTTCGGCCACGTGGCCGGGGTCGTGGGGGTGGACAACCCCTCGCTTCGCGCTCGGTCAGGGGTAGTAAAGGGCACGCGGCTACTGCTTGCCAGCGGCACAGAAAAAACAAGAGAACAACCGTTCACTTGAACAGCCGTTCTCCGATCTCGAGATCGCCGCGCTGCTCCCCCTACATCTACTTAGCTCCGTCCGCTGTTCGTTCGGTCCCCGGCGGCGGCCCCCGCCCGCGCCGGTGCACGCGCGCCGGATGCCCTCTCGGAGCCGTGACACGGGGCAGACGAAATCCCACACTGGTGGATTTGGGGGCGATGCGGACCCCCTAATGCCAAAGGGGGGGGGTAGTCCGATGTCCGTGTATAGACCGTAGTCGGCTAGAGCTAACACCCTCCCGCACACTTGTGGGTCTTGCAAACCAGATTTTTTAAATGCCAAAAGAAAAGGGTAAGGGACCCCGCGGGACTGCAACACCCAACAGCAACGTGCAAGCAACACGGCGCAAACGTGGTCGGTGGTTTCCTCGTGCTCGTCTCAAACTCAATCAAATAAATATACACAACTCACCTAACCCCTATTTCGGTCTCACACCGCGCTAAAGCCGCCGTCTGCGAAGACGTGCGATCCGGTGACGAAGCTGGAGTCGTCCGAGAGGAGGAAGAGGGCGACCTGAAAAGCGACAGGGAGGGGGCGGCTCGCACGGCAAATCGCTGCTACACAGCTCTATCGGCTGAGGGCAGGGCCGGCAGGGTGGGGACTCGCCTTGGCGATGTCGTCGGGCTGCCCGAGCCGGCCCTGCGCCTCAGCGATGTCCTGCGAGGCGGGGACGAGTGGCGCGAGGGTGCGCATGGCTCGCCTTGCCAGCGGCGGGGCGAGCCTCTCCCTCTCGGGATGGGGCCGCGCTCTCCTGCTCCTGCTCCGTACGCACTCTTCCCTCAGGGGCTCTCACAGAACTGTCCCTTGAAGGTTCACGGGGCCGACTACAGTGGAGAGCGGAGAGAGGAGTGCTCCTGCTCCGATGCCGGCACGCCGAGCGCAGTGAGCTCGCGGATCTCCTTGCGCCCGTGTGGCGTGTCGACGAAGCCGGGGCAGACGGTGTTGCACCGCACGCCGCGGTCGCGAAACTCCACCGCCACCTGACGGAAGTCGCCGGCGCAGGCAAGTCTCGCACACGCACAAGTCTCGCGCGGACGTTTGCATGTACAATTTGTGTGCTGGATCGGGCGGTGGTGAGGGCTGTGGCTGTCGCACCGCCCTAGCGAACATGTGACACGCCCCCTTGGACGCGTCGTACAGCACCTGGGAGGAGAGCAGCACCGCGGCCGTTATAGAGGCTCCGTCCACAGTGCACGCCGCCGTCCACGCATGCCGCACGCAACCGTTGCACCAAGTTCCAAGAATTTGAGTCATCTACAAACCGAGCGCAACCGTTGCACCAAGTTCCAAGAATTTGAGTCATCTACAAGTCGAGCGCCTCGCCCGGCGTCGCGAACACAGCAGAGATGGAGGAGGTGCAGACGATGGCGCCGCCGCCCGCCTTGAGCATGCCCGGGAGGACCGCGCGCGTCATCAGAAACATGGACGTGACGTTCTTCGCGAAGAGGGCGTCCCACTCTGCCAAAGTGAGGTCGAGGAACGGCTTGACCGACAGCCCTCCCGCGTGGTTGAAGAGGCAGACGCACGGCCCGTGCGCAGCCTCCGCCGCCGCGACCGCTTCCGACACCTACCCGCGCCGACGCTGGCGTGACGCACGGCCCGTGACAACGATCGCGCGGCGGCGGCGGAGCCTGGCGCTCGCTGGTCAGGTCGCACGCCACAGCGATCGCAACGCCGCCCGCTGCACGGATCTCGGCCGCGACAGCCTCGGCGCCGGCGGCGTTGACGTCCACCACCGCGACCTTCGCGCCTTCGGCCGCAAAGAGCTTGGCCGAGGCGGCGCCCATGCCCGACGCGGCACCGGTCACGATCGTCGAGCGGCCCTCGAGCCGACCTGTCCTCCTATCGCACTCGACCTGAGTGGCGGCCAAGAGGCTCGAGCCCGCAGCCGCCGCCGCGAGGCGGGTAGAGGGCCGAGCGAGGAGGCGGAGCATGTCGATGCGTTAGGAGCACGGTGTTGGGGTCCAGTAATGGTCGGTGAGAGATGGGGTACAAGTCCGCCGACCGCCGCCAACCATCTGCCTTTTCTTTTTGTAGGTATATTGCAAATCAATCTTTTTTGCTACCCACGAGCACATAGAAATTCTTTTGCACGCACTGGGCTCGTGCACGCGGCACGATCAGCGTGATGAAGAAGCCCACATCATGGCAGCGACGCAAGGCCGCAAAGCTTGGCTTGGCACCGGCCGAGGTGCAGAAGCGATGCAAGAAGAAGAAGAGTCTGGCCGGTCCAGCGCAGGCGCTGCGCGACGCGTGCAAAAGGGCGAAGGACGCATCCGCTGCGTCGCGAGAGCGGCACCGGCTCGGTCAGCCGCCGCAGCCAGAGGACGCGGCGCTGGCGGAGGAGTACTCTCAGGCCAAGGCCGCGCTACGCAGGGCGCTCGAGGCGGAAGCCAGAGAGAAGGCGGCTGCCGCTCAGAAGACTGCAGCCGGGACCATCCCTGCTGAGCCTGCGTCGACGGCCAAGGGCGCGGCTGCGGAGCCGGCGTCGGTGACGCCTGCGTCGACGGCCAAGGGTGTGCCGAGTGGCGGGACGGAGGCCGCGGCGGAGGCCCCGCCTCCTCCCTCCAAGAAGGAGCTGAGGCGGCGCGAGGCGGCGGAGCGGGCTGTGGCGGAGCGGGCGGGCGAGGGCGGCGGCGACGAGCGCGAGCCGTGGACGTGCGAGACGTGCGGCGTGACGATCCTCGTGCGCCCCGACGGGCGGGCGCGGCAGCAGCACCTCCAGGGAAAGGCTCACGCCAAGAGGCTCAGGGCTGCGCCCGCAACCGCCGCCTCCGCCGGCGCTCCCTCTGCGGCCTCCGCGCCCGCAACCGCCGCCGCGCCCGCCGCCGCGCCCGCCGCCGTGCCCGCCGCCGTGCCCGCCGGCGGCGGTACGGGCTACTACGAGTGCAAGCTCTGCTCGTGCACGCTCGCCTCCTCCGCCGGCGCTCTACACGAGAAGGGCGCGAGGCACCGCGAGAGGGTGCAGCGGCTCGCCGCCTTTCTGAGGGAGCGGTCGGCGGCCGACGCGGAGCGCCCGCTCAAGCCCGGCGACTGGATCTGCACCGCCGCCTCCCACGCGCCGCAGCTGGTGTACGCAAACAGAGACAGCTGCTGCCGGGCCGGCTGCGGACGCGCGCGCGCGCAGGGGCTGTCGCAGTCGGAGGCGGCCACCATGGTTGCTCGGGGCCGCGAGGGAGGCGCATAGTCCATGTGCATAGAAATAAATATCTTTACTTCCAACACCCGGACGTTCCCAGGGTGATGGAAGGTTCGACGCACCCCCGGACTGGGCAGAGAGGTCCACCAACGTGTAAAGACGATATGGGCACTCCGCCCCGCCCGGGTTGTTGCACGAGTATATGGGCCACGATGTCTCAAATATGAGGGGTTTTGACTCCTACCGGCTCCTGACGCTATCCCTGGCAGCTCTAATGACCAGGATCAGTAGTGCTATGATAGAGGCTGCCCATACTAGCGCAGGAGCTGCCACACTCGCCCGGACCGTCCCCTTCTGGGTCCGGTTCCGCAGCCCGCGAGAGCCGATAGCGGGGCCGTGCCGCGGGTGCCTACTGCCGAGTGCCACAAACACTGCGCCGTCCCGCCATCACCTACAGGCTGTCTTGTGTGATGGTTGGGATGTCCAAACGCCACCATCTTGGCTCTTGCGACCTCAAACCCGCGAGCTGTATGGGTGGTCCTGACGTCGACAGACGCCCGAGGACCACGGTGAAGCTGAGCCGGAACGCGTCGACAAGTCTCGTCTGAGCCCGTTGCGGTCGCCGGCTGAGTCGCCGTGCACGGGCCGGTACCTCAGGCGTCACCTCCGCAGCCTCAGGTCTCACACTCCATCACCTCTGACGGGACGCCTTCGATGGCACGCTCGGCGGCGAGTTTGTGGCAGCTCCATCTCGAGTACGGCGTCGAGCCTACTCACTCCAGTTGGTTCGGCACACTCGGTGGGGTCCACTGAGTGTGCCGAACGCGCGAGCGGTGCGTCCTGGCAGCCCGCGCTGGCTGCGGAGCTGCCACAAACTCGAGACACGCTTTTTGGGACATTTTCGACGCTTTTGGCCCATATACTCGTGCAACAACCCGCCCCCACTTGCCCTGGGACTGCACAGGATAGCGTGCCCCGACAAACGGCGACACATAGCGGGGGACACCACGCCGGGGGGTATGCCTAGACTGTCGGTGCTTGGCGGGAGGAGGGGGAGAGGGAGGCCCGGTGGGAGGAGAGAGGGAGAGGGAGGCCCGGTGGGAGGGGAGGGAGAGGGAGGCCGCCTTGGGCTCTTCTCCTCCCCCCTCCCTGGGCTCTTCTCCTCTCCCCACCCTGGGCTCTTCTCCCCTCTCCTGCCTGGTACTCTCGGCCTGATTACCGGAGCGTCTGCTGGAGCAGACGCTGGGGGGACACTCACGCCCGGAGGCGGTACGCACGACCCGGAGGCGTGGGGATGGGGGGGCGCCGCGCCGCCGCCGCCGTGCCGCCTTCTCCCGCTTTGATCTCCCTCAGCTGCTTCTCCTCAACTCAACCTGTGAGCTTGCGAGGGCGGCGGGGGTGGGAGTGCTCTCGGGCGGCGTGTGCGAGCGCGCGCGGCGCGAATCTCTTTCGCGAGGGCACGGTGGGTCGGGTGAGTATCTCGCGCGCTCGCACTATTTCACGTTATGTGAGGCGCTGCCCCTAACTGCCTTTGCAAGAACCGCCAGCGGCGGTTGAACCGTTCGCGGTTCGAGTCGGGAGCTTTTGGCTCCCGGTTCGAAACTCGCGTGGAGGGTTGCTTCGCGGTAGCGAACGCGGGCGACGCGAGCGCGCGCGCGTGCGTGTGCGCTGCTGCAAGGCGAGGCGAGGCGCAGGCGCAGGCGCAGGGGCAGGCAAGGCGAGGCGGGCGGCGGCGGCGCGCGATCGTTCCTTTTGCCCGGGTGAGGCGTGGCGAGCACGTCGCGCGGTGATGACGCTGCACGCTGAGAAGTTCTTGGTGACCCACCGCGGTGGCAGCGAGCCAGAGCAAGCGACCTGCCGCATGACGGGTGGACCTCGAAAAAGAACTCCCCAGATGCACACACAAGACCACGAGACACGCGAGAGTGTGCGCGGCGGTCTCCGGAAGGGCTATTGCCAGGTGGCGGCCACGCCGGCGGCGGGGGTGGAGGCGGCGGTGGGGGGGGCGGGTACGGTGGCGGCACTGGCGGTCGCAACGCCTGGTGTGGGTCCGAGCGGTGGCGGCCACGCCGGCGGCGGGGGTGGAGGCGGCGGCGGGGGGGGGGGGGGGCGGGTACCTTGGCGGAACTGGGGGCCCCATCCCCTGGTAGGGAGCCTCAGTGGGGGCCCCATGACCCTGCGACCACTCCAGCGGTGGGGGCGGAGGCGGTGGTGGGGGGGGGCGGGTACGATGGCGGTACTGGCGGCCGCAACGCCTGGTGTGGAACCTCGGGGACGGCCCCTCGGCCCTGCGGCCGTTCCCGTCGCGGCTCCACGCGCCGATCGCCCACCGCACTCCGGGGGGGGGATCTAGCCCTTGCTCCCCCCCGCGGAGGGAGGAGGCCAAGGCCCGGGCTCGCCGCTGGCCTCGCCTCTCCCCCCCCTCGCGCTCCGCTAGGTCGTAAGCTGTCTATCAGTCGCGTTGCTCCCTCATTCGCCCGACCGATCCCCTTCGATCCGCACCCGCACTGCCCGAATGTCGAAGGCCGAGTTGTGTTCGGACAACGGGCCCGCCGACGCCACTCGCCTCTTCACACACACAGCAGGCGTATGCCATCATCGCCTGCCCCCCCGACGGTGTCGGTCCTGGTGCGATGTCGTTGACGAGGTATTCCTCCCCCCCCCACCGGAACACCTGCCCAAGACGGTCCGTCGAGCCAACCAGTCGTCTAGCCAGGCCCCGTACTTCCCGTGCCTGCACTGGCCCGAGCACGCCGATGCTGGTTGCGAGCGACAGACCGATTGCCCTAAGTTCCGCCAGGACCGCCTTCGCCCAGATCGTTTTCTTCTCTCTTGCACGATGTATACTATGTGCAGGCCATCGCGTCGCGCGGCGGCGGTCGCTGCGGCGCAGAAGCCGTCCTTTCGTTCGGAACTGCGCGAGGCCGAGCCGGCGGCGGCGGGAGCGGCGGCGGTAGACCAGCCGCCAATCGCGCAGGTGGCAGGTGAGGGCACGTCGGCAGTGGTGGTTGAGGCCTTCGTCTCGGCGCCGCCGCCGGATGCGCCGGCGGTGGAGGCGACGGTCTCAGCCGCCTCTAGACCAGCCGACGGCGGCGAGCCATCCTCCGCGCCAGTTACCGCCGCAGCGGATGCAGCGGACGCCGCGACGGCCGCACCCGCGGCGACGGCCCGCGGCGCAAAGCGCGGCCGTCCCGCCGCCGCTGCCGTCACTGCGACCGCCACGAGCCGGCGGTTCCAGCGGGAGCTGCAGTCGATGATGTACGGCTTTGGCGACGCCGCCGCGCCGCTGCCGCAGAGCGTGAGCCTGATGGAGGACCTCGTTGTCGACTACCTGCAGCGGGTGCTGCACCGGGCGAGCCGCGCGTAGAGAGCCGGCGAGATGAGGGAGGGGGGAGGGGTCCAGGGCGCCCGGCGCGAGAGGGGAGCCGCACTCCGCCGGAGCGCCCGTCCTCGCCCCTCCGCCCCCGCCTCGCCCGCACGCCTCGCCGCCGCCTTGCCACGACGCGCGGCCCGCGCCCTCTAGATAGATAGGAAGGCGAAACACAGTCCGACCAATTTCCCTCTCACCGCGGCAGGCGAGCGAGGTTGCCGAGGAGAGGCAGAGGCACGTGCGCCGCTCGTCGGCCGAGGGAGCACGCGTCAAGGAGCGCGACCTGCTCTTCGCCATCCGCAAGGTCGGCCGCGCACACCCTCTCACCCCGCCCGCCCCCTCCCCGCGCCGCTTCAGCCTCTCCTCAGGCCCTCCCTCCCTCCCTCCCTCCCTCCCTCCCTCCCTCCCTCCCTCCCTCCCTCCCTCCCTCCCTCCCACTCCTCCCTCCCTCCCTCCCTCCCTCCCTCCCTCCCTCCCACTCCTCCACGCCTGCGGGCGCCAGAGCGCTGTGCCCGTGCTCGGACGGCCCGCGGGCCGCCCGGGCACGATGCCTTCCGGACCCGACGCCTTCCCCGCCGCGTGGCCTGGCGCCTCCGGGGCTTACCCACACCCTTCGCTGCCGCGCAGGACTCGCGGCGGCTGCAGCGGGCGCAGGAGCTGCTCGAGGTCTTCGACGAGCAGCGCGAGGCGAGGAAGACGTACGCTAAGGACCACGAGGAGTACGCAAAGGAGGAGAGCCGCTGAGGCGTGGCGTGGCTGTTAATGGCCAGTCGGACGCGGCGAGGCACGATGCGCCTTTTGTACATGTAGCCTTCGTCGGCGCCAACCAGACCTCTTTTCTTAGGAAACAAAACTGTGTGGAAAAAATAGTCTCAGCTTGATGGGATAAATAAATAAATAAACAAAGAGCTGGACAAATACCAAATTCTCCAATAAATTATTCCGAATAAAAAAAATTGCTTTCGAAGAAAAACGAGCACGCATATTCTCCCCCCTCCATTCTCTCCCCCTTGGCGTGGCGCGCCTCTCCCCCAGCTCTCGGTATCGCGTACTGCACGAGGCTACCGTGGGCCCCGCCTGCGCGCTGGGGGTTCCCTTCCCTGTCGGGAAGCCTAGCTCTGAACCTGGGGTCGCTACCTAATGCGGGGCGAATGAGTGATGAAGTTAGTGCCTTGGTGTGCCCGTTCCCCGTTATGGCTTCCCCTGGTCTCGCGACCATGAATGAGAGCTCTCACTCCCAGGGTACTCCCGCGTATCTGGCTCCCTTATCCCCCCCCTCTTCCCCCCCCTTTCTCTCTCCGAGATGACCCGTGCTCTACGTGCCTAGGTTCGGTCTTCGGGGAGGGGGGATTGTCGGTGTGTCCTCTCGAGTTTTTCTCGCTGGACGCCCAACAGCTTCGATTTCCCTCCTTAGCGCCCCGGGTAGAGCGTGGTCTCCCCTGGAGCCTGCCACGCCCGTTCTGTCTAAGCCCAGGGTTCAGCTTTCCAGTTGATCCTTATCGGACTGGTGAGTTCCTTCTCGCTGTCAGTGTGACGCCCCGGCAAACATTGGCAGCGGTGCTACACACACTACGCCATCTTTCGTTTGAGTTTTAGAGTGTTTTTTGTTAACAATTTTTACGGGCTAGCGATGTCGCAGTACATGCGCACTCACCGGCCAAAAGCGCATGTCTTGAAGGTCCGATACTGGAAGCCCATATAGGCACCTTACACTCCCCCGCAGTATCGCACCTCTTGAGCGACACTACGTTTCCGCAGCTGGGGATTCTCCGGGTACCCCTCTTTGTACCCGTGCTGGCCGGATTCCTCCTCCGAACAACTCAAGTTCGATCGGCCCCAGTCTCGAACTGGCAGCCACTATCTCACCGGAGGTACCATGTCAGGAGACGGAACACGGAGGAGCTGTATAGGTCACTAGAGACCCACACCATCGCTACATCACCACAGCCACCAAGTCGGATACAAGTCGATGACACTGTGCACAGCAGGACAAACCAAACATGAGACGGTTACACAAGGACGGTCAGGCTACGGTCAGGAAGTAGGTTTGAGTTCACACTCTCCAACAGGCCCCCCGCTACGTCGCACGAGTGCAACCGGGTAGCGGGGGGCTAAAATGGCACCGATTTACGATTTTCCGCGCGCTGCGCGCGCCGAGCACGGCCACGGCGCCAAAAAAGTGCTTGCCGGAGTCCGTTTTCAGTGGGGGGACACACAAAACGACATTTGCATCGGCCGGGCGGACAAATTTAGTGCCTGGGAGCCCCTTTTAGAGCCTTCTAAGCCCATCCTGCTACTTTTTGAGCTCGGGTCCAGCAGAGCGCCTGCGCGTCCATCGCGCAGCAGACGCCGCTCGAGCTGCTCTGCTTCATCGAGGACTTTGCGCGGACGGCCCACCTACGTCGAGGCGTCGAGGCCGACCTCTTCCCACCCAGGTTTCGCGACTCTGCGTGGCCGACTCACACAGCGAGCCTTCCGAAGGCTCCTGGTCGTTGCACGAGATAATGTACATAACAAAGTCGCCCCAAGGCGCGCGTACCGGTAGCTATGACAGGGACCCCGCGGCCGCGGATCCGGCGGCGGACGGGGCTGGCGCGCAAGCGCCGGCCACCGTCGGGCCGCCGGGGATGCGCCGCGCACTCGCATCGGTTACCTCCATGAACGGCGGAGCTAAGTATTCTCGCGTCCACACCACACCTCGTCCAACGTACACACACTACTGTGCGAGCCGGCCTGAAGAACACAATTCTGCGTTTTTTTCTGCCCTCTCATCCGCCTACATCTGCATCTGCTGCACGCCGCCATGCTCGCCCTCGCTCTTCTCGCGACGCCCTCAACCGCCGCCTCTCGCCCCCGTCCGCGGCGCGGGGGGGCACTCATCGACACGCGCAACCGCACCGACTTCAGCACCAAGCTCGAGACCGACGCGCCGACGCTCGCCCTCGCGGCGTCTGCCTCGCGCAAACCCAACGAGGCCGCGGAGCTCCTGCTCCACCAAGACGTCCTCGGGGGTGGGGGGGCGCTGTTCGGTGCCCGTCCGGACGTCGCCACCTTCCATCCAACCTTCTCCATCCCGGCCTATCTCTCCAAGTTCAGCGGCGCCGCCTCGCGCGCCGCCGCCCCGACCACCCTAAAGCCCATCGGCGCCGCGGCCGACGCCGAGCTCGCCTCCGTTGGCGAGGCTGCCGGCGCGGCCATCGTTGGCGACGGCTCGCTCGCCGACTCCACCGTCAACTCCCTCGGTGTCACGTGCGGCGGCGGCGGCGCCCCAGTGTGGTGCGCGGAGCCGCCGCAGCAGCCGCTCGCCGAGCTCTGCGTCTCTGAGGATCCGATCGAGGCCTCGGGCTCCACGAGCAACGAGACGGTCTGCACGACCGCCACGGCCCACTCCAAGAGCGAGGCCGACGAGACGGGCACAAAGGTGTGCGACTCTCCGCTCTCTCCCACACCGTCTGCTCCGCCGCCCTCCCGGCCTCTCCATCTCCGCCCGGGCGTCGTCGCCGCCCCCCACTCTCCC